CCCCCTCGCCGCTATCCATCTCCTCCCACTGGTTGCTCCCTTGCAAGAATTCGACTTTATTCGTGGCTTCTGTTCTTTCCAGAGCTTACTGTTCCTATCACGATCACCTGATCACATGAGAGATGAGCCCATCCGCCGCTTCCGAGTGATAGGCGAAGTGGACCCGCTGGATTCTGGTGGTCCTACCCGATAGCCTACAGACGACAACCCTCGAAGCATTTCTGGCCAGTCCGTGTTTGTACTTGATTCATCATGTACCGTTGTACCGTGTACCGTATCCCTACAGAAAAAAAAAAGAAAAAAAAAAGGAGGAAAACCTCCATGTACATCTATATCATACATGCATGAGACCCTCCCGACAGGCAACACCTCCGACTGAACCGCCGTCTAGTAACTGCTGACCTGTTTCATCTGCCACACCGCGCTCTTGGCCCGTTCCCGAACGTCCAGTTCACAATCGTCTTCTAGCCCCTCCAGCTTGGTCAAGAAACCCAGCTTCTTCAGTTCGTACGCCCTCTGGGCGCACGCTCGTGTATCGCTCTCGTCGTCCTGCCATGTGAGGTTGCTGATTAGGTGGCAGAGGGCAACCCGTACCTCTTTATCCTTACTATTGAAGTGGTTCGCTAGTAGCTTGAGTAAGTCCGTCTGCGCAATGACCAGTTGCCGGTGGCGCGGGATGCTGGCCGCCATGTGGACCAGGATGAAAACCACGGCCTCAATGATTTTGGCCTGTGGGTAGAGCACCCGGGTTTCACGCCCAGACCCCGCGGACCGTCTCGACGTTGGGTGGAGGACCTTGGCCTGCAGTTTCCTGGCGAGGATGTCAAAGAACCTATCCTGTCCAAGCTCGCTGAAGAGGTAATCAATCATCTCCGTGGTATCGCTGGGCGATTCAGAGCTCGACCCAGAGCCTGCCGCCCCTATCATGTTCCGGATAAAGTCGAGACCTTGTTCCTGGATGGCTAGGTCATCATTCCGTGCTTTTCGTAACGGGTTGATCTCGGCCTCGCGCAGCGCTGCTAGCCTGGCTTCTACCTGTCGTAGTTTAGCCGATCGCTTGCCATCTGCGTCTTGTGGCGGCATCATCGAGCTTATCCATGACTTGGACAGCGGGTCTGCTTGGTCCATTTCGACGTCACCGTCCATGTCGTCCCCGCTATCCACCGCATTCTGTTTGTCCATTTTGGATCTCGCGAGGAACAGTGCGTCGTCTTCCGTGTCGTCACAGATGAGCTGCACCAGCCAGCCAGACTCGAGCTCCTCCAAACAGTGCTTCTTGGTCTCCGGATCAACTGCATGAACGAAATGCTTCAATGCCCAAAGGGCATTGAGGCGTAGCGCAGGATTGAGGGAATGCGCATGCTCGCAGAGAATCTTCATAACACCCCTATCGGCCAGAACCTACGATCATTAGCGTCATTTATGGTTTTCGAGACGGGGCCTCATATTTGTACTCACCTCCCTCATGGGGCTGACCTCGGTGACCAGATTGCATATCGCTGCAGTGGCGGCAATTTGAACATCTGCGTCGGGATGTCTGAGGAATCGGAAAAGGGGGACTGCTACAGCGTAGTCCACCAAGGATGTTCTGAGGATGCTTACAGACCGCGACAGCATTCTGACTGCGTGACAGCCCGCGATCAGCACCGACAGCGGATTACTGCCGTACCCGGAGTTATGGCCGGATAAAGAACCATCATCTACGGGCCCATCCGGCTCGCTGGGTTTGCCGCGGTCCTTGGGATTTGACGGCTTGCCAGGCGTAGGCGAGAGTGATTGCACAATGTGAGCGATGACGTCCTGCTCCACGAAAGCCTTACGATACTCGTCCTTGCCGGCCGCCAGAGCGCCTATCGCTTTTAGAGCGCTTTCGCGCATTCTTACTCTGTGGGCCAGGAGTGGTGGCTGCCCTTCTGGCCCCAGAGCACATGAGGGAGATGTGTTTTCGGCCTCCATGGTGTCCACCTGCGGCGACCAAACCTTGGCGTATGCCGACGCTGGAATCGGCTCATACGCATCCTTGAGGAGCTTGCTATAGCATTTGACGGCTCCGCAATCAAAAGCAGCCTTCTGGAGCGGCTCGCTGTCCGTGATCATTCGAGCGAGTATTGCCGGCGTCCTTTCCAGCATTGTCCACTTCAATGCCGTATGGGCATCAACAAGGGGCGACTTGACAACGGGTGGCGATGATTGAAGTTGGTCCAACTCTTCCATGAGCACAGGGACGACCAGTAACCCAAGGCTGGCTTCTCTCAAACACTTGATACCGAAACCAGACCGGAAGAGCGAGGTGAGAAGGTTAGCGGCCATCAACCTTTCCAGGTTCTGCCGTGATCTGACCAAAACAATCAACCAGGGAATGAGAGGGCTCTCTTGTTCCTCTTCAGGCTCCCCCTCGTTACCAAACAGCTCGAACCGGGAAGTCTCCCAAACGGAAGCTGTAGAAGTGTATTTGGTCGCCGCTGAACGAGCCCGCTCTCGCGCCTCGGAAGCACCCAAAGCAGGGAAATGCGATTGCTGGGAACCGGGGACCCGGCCTTGGTGGATGGGGACGGCAGGAAGCAGATAGTCTACGGCGCTGAGGCTTTGCTGCCGTGCAAATCCCAGGCCACTAACATCAAGAGAGTTCCAGGGAGCCCTGACTTCCTTTGATGGTGTAAACTTCATAGCGGGAAAGATGGCCATGATCGCCGGGGAGCACAATAACATGCAAGCTCTGAACCGGGAGTCTGAGATTATGGTAGCCAGTGCGTCCAAGATCGGGGCCAAAGTAGAGCTCGATGGTGCCGGCTCCGGGATGAAGTCTGACATCCGGTCCACCCGGCCGAGCACTTCGGCGTAGGGGATGACATGTCCTTGGGCGACGGCGATGCTCGCCAGCCGCGTTGCAAGTGAATCGAGCACTCCTTGACTTGCCATGGCGAGTTGATGCCTCTCGTCCCGACACGATTGGCTGATTATGTTCGCTACCAATATGACTTGTGTTTGCTGCTCGGACGTGGTAGATGTACTAGATAATATGCTGTTGAAGGAATCGATGTGCTCAGAAGTGAAGATGGTCTCGGCCAAAGCCTGCGTGTCCACTGGAGAGGTCGGTTGTGCCAGAGCGGCGGCTTCGATGATGTTGAGCAGAACACGTAGAGCAGTCGTAACGAGCAAGGGAGCGTTCGAGACGGGGCAAATGTTGTCTAGCACAGCTGGCAGCGCCCCGGCAGCGAGAAGAGGCTCGACAAAGGCGGTACCACCTAGAACAGACCTCAGTCAGTATGCAATCTGGGAGCCATCACAGCGAGATGGAGATATACCGTTGGCAAAGCTCGCTAGCAGCTGCAGCGCTTGAAGCCTCACATTCTCCTCCTCGCTAACCCATCGGGAGCTAGCACTGGGTCGAATGTCCTTGCTGTTGACCTTGGCTAGCGATCGGGCAGCATTTAGTATCTGAACGATGGGGTCCAGGACACCCAGCCCAGCCCACATCTCCTTCTTCTGTGCATGCCCGACGATATCGTTCTTAAGCGCCCGTAGCGCACCCGTCTGCTCGGCGTAGCTTCTTGCACTCAATAGTTGCGAAAGAATTGGGGGATTCGACGAGCGTGTCATGGTGGAAGGCTCGGTGGGCGGCGGCTCGATAGGGTATGTAAAGGGGAGCTTCTGTTGTCTGCTGTCGTCTTTCAGCCAAGGCGTCATGTGCTTGCAAGAGTGAAGTGATGTAGTTGCAGCAATGGATCTTGCGTGCGTTAGAGGCCAAGGTCCATGCAAACGGTCAATGGGAGGGCAAATGTGGGCTGTGCTCTGTCGACAGGCGTGGTCAGGCGTTTCCCCAACGCCTGTAGCAATAACCGACGACCGTGATTCGTATAAATTCTATTCGAGAGCGTCAAGCTCGTGAATCAAAGATCGGGGGTCGTTCTTCTAGAAACAAGAGGAAGCCGGGGATGGATGTCGTCCACAAAACAAATCGCGGATGATCACGTCGGGACCGATGGTTTGGGCGATTGGGAGACTATCTGCTCTGGAAACCTGGGGTGAGGCACGTGCGTTTTCCATATCGCAACCTGCCGGTTCAGGATTCTCACATGCTAGGGGTAGGTAGCTGAAGCTTGGGGTAATTAGCACCAGCCGCCAGTGTCAGTATCACAACACTGGTAATGTTAAGGAAATTGTCGATTTAAACCATATAATTTTGAATGCAAGAAGGACTCCGATAACCAGCTTGATAATGCAAAGGATTCTCGACCCGTGACGGGACCCTAACGTCTAGTAGAAGCTGCACATGATTGTATTGAACATTGGAGGTAAGGGCCGCCATGCGGCTAACCCCCTGCGTGGCTGGCTCTGCCGTGTTGTCTCCTCCCGCCCACATATGTATGTATCCGTACTTGTCATGGCTTATACATGATGTACTTTGGAAAATGGGACCTTTGCCGACTTTTTTGGTGATGGTGCAGCTTCATGGACCCTTTGCCCCAAGTGTCGAATTTCCAACAACTGCTATATACATATCGACGCGTTTGAGACTGCGCCGGAAAGCGGCTAGAACACATGACCAATGTAGTAGCATAGGCTCCCGTAAGGCATTTGTTCAGGGCGCAACTTATGGCGTCTTAACGTGTCATGGAGGGCAACTTTTTGAGTGAATGGGGGAAATTGCCGACGGCGGGGCATGAGTTCGAGTTTATTCCAATGATTAAATGCTCGTGTCGTATGTGCTGGACTAACTTCGTCAGACACATAATGTACTGGGGAGGACGAGTCATTGGCACTCCGATCGGTGTATAGCAACTCTTCATCGTATCCAAAACAATGGCAACCAGACAAACCTTGAATGACGGAGGAGTTAATGAAACATCCCAGCACGTTTGATTGTTTAAAAACTGATCACAAGTGACCGGGCACGGCTCTCAACACCAGTCAGTGTCATCGCAGGCCGCCGTGCAAAACCCCGCTCGCAGCAAAAAAAGCCATGACAAACAAAATGCCCAAGACCAGCAAAATCAACACTCCCGATGCGAGGGTCGAACTCGCAGCCTTCGGATGACCATAGCGAGGCTCGCGAGAACCTGTGGCTAAAAGTCCGACGCTCTGACCAATTGAGCTAACCGGGAAAATTTAAATTCGATTACTTTCACGCGTTGCACGTCTTCTCATAGGTAGGACAGGGAGGTGGGTGAAGTCAACAGTCAAGCATCGCCAAGGCTTTTTTTAGTTGATTTGAGAACAAGCCGCCTCCGTTACAACCAAGGTATACGCCTCTCCTACGAGTGAGGAGGATTGGCGACCTGTAGACTATCGGCACGGTCGTAATTGCAGGCATTCAGCTGTAGACAAGAGCAGTACGTGTGGCGTCGATGCCGAGTAAAGCGGCCATCACTCAAGACTGACCTACCAGGTTCCACATCGAAATTTTTTAGGTAATCCCAAGGTCTCCTAGTCGAAAGCATCTACTCTGCATTTACAGGACCAGGGGGATTACGAATGCTGTCGGAGCTGGACATCCATGGCCAGGACATTACTTGTCGTTAGTACCTAACCAACATGACACACGGAAACAATGGGCACGAACTGTCGAAAACTAAACCAACTCTGCGACCTTCATCAGGTCATTGTAGCGAGCAGGCCATCGTCAAGGTGAGCTCCGAACTCGCTGCAACCAAGCGAATCAAGTTGTTTCTTCTTCGTTCGACCCCAGATAAGAGATAAGCCATGGACGTTGACCGGATTGCTATCAGTACCACGGCAGCAGAGTCGTGAAGGTGAGGGGTAGACTTTCTGGTGCGAGAGAAGTGGCATTCGACGGATGGCCCATCATGACGAAGATCGTGGCCAATGGGGTATACGATAAACAGAGGACGGAAAATATCTCAGTAGCAGTTGACTGGCACGTGTGTCGGTGAGGAAGCCCCATCAGACGCCGAATGCGTCCGCGTGTATCCGTACGCCTACACGCACGTTAAAGCTAAGTCAGGCAGGCGGATAGACCTGTTCATAGAGGTTCTCGTGGAGCAGGCCTGGAAACCGCCGGGGACCCTTCCCGATTCCTCCGCGCTTCGAAAAGCGTCATTTCGAACGTGTACTGGGTAAAAGTCTAGTGATGCAAACAAGAGGCAGAGTCTGAGCCGCCCCGGACGGCGCTTCCGATCGCCGATAGGCCTCGAACCAGGTTAGCATTGCGCAAAGAGGGCGCTTGGTTCGTGGAATCGCTCCTGCCGGCTGTAAAATGGTTGCAGCACCGGCCCCAGAGCAGCCTTAGCGGCGTTCCTCTCGGTGTCCCAATTCAGAAGAGCGACCCCATCTTTTCTGGGCATTGATTTCATTGGAATGGCCTGGAGTTAATCGTGTAATCAGCCTGCCTAGGAGGAGCAAAATAAAAAATAAAAATACCGCGGAGAGCGCTGCCACTGATAAAGAGATTAGATATTCGAACAACAATAGCACGGTTTGCCATGCACTGTACTCAAGAAGGAGCACAGCTAGGATGTCAGTGACATAGTAATTACATCTTCCTCACTACCTACCTAGGTAACCAAAGCAAGAGACTGGTCGGTTCAAGCGTACCTTAGGTAGTAGTGTATGTAAGACCGGGCTCTGTGCCAAGCAGAAAATCAGATCCGCTCTCCCTCACCACCCCTTTCCACATCCCACCTCATTGGTATTTGGCTCATGTCCAGCCATCCCAGGCAAGCCTTGGGTGGGACAGCGGACTGCTTGCTTCTACAGGCGCTTCTACAGGCACTTCCTCTAACGGTTGGTGCCGAACTGCCGTCCAGAATCTTGTCTACGTACAGACTAGGTAGGATTTTTACCCAAGGGTACGGATAACAATACTAGATATACTGCAGGTTACCTACCTAGTATGGTCTCCCCTTCCAGGCCATTTACATCCATCACATCCACCACGCCGGCAACGAAGAGCCCCTCCCTTGCCGATTTTTCGGCCGTGTGCGCGCTGGGCCTGTGTTTATCTGATCTCCAGCTTTTCTGGCAATCTGCAAATCTGAACCTCCCTACCGCCGCCTTACATCACACACCGCACCGCACCGCACCGCACCACATACTGCACGGCCACATCTTTATCCCGCCCGATCTGCCTAACCCTCAGCTTTCACACGATAACTCCTCAGCTCGTCGCCGGTTCGCTCTGTCTGCCGTCTGCGAACCCAAGATGCGCCCGAGACCATGTTGACAACATCTCCTGTCGTCGCCAGTTCCGCCAATGCCTCGCCTAGCAGCTTCCACTATGCCCCTACGCGATCCTCCCCGCACTCATCTCCTTCCCGGCTTTCGGCCCCTTTGCCGCGGCGGCACTCTGCACCCAGATCTTCTCCGTCCGCCTCAATGACCTCCCCCTCCTCTCAACCACCCCCGCGACACTATGTAGCTGTCGACGCCGGTACCCAATATTCTCCCATGGAGTCTTCGGCCCATCAGTACGCAGAAGATGTTCCTGCCGAAGCCGTCAACGCCCCGCGCGCCTCTGTGCCTGCGACGCCTGCCGAACCCCCGCCAGCGCCGCGTCCACAGCCGATAGACCTGTCCGCAACGCAACCACTGCCCGGCACACAATCGCAACCACACCCGCAACCGCAGCTCGTCGTGGCACCCACCATCCGCGAGGTCTCAGCCTCTACTGCGTCGCCTGGCAAGCGACGAAATTCCCAGGACCCGGCCGTCGCACAGGCGGCGAGTGCATCCGCCGCGGGCGAGTCGTCGTCGCTGTCGTCCTCGAGCGCCGCTAAGCGCCCTAAGCCCACAGCCGCCCCCCCGAAAACCTTGCCGCAGCGATACGAGTTTTGTGTCGTCGAAGATATGGTCGTCTTAATATCACACATGCTCTCCGAGCTGATCGAAACTAATGACGCGCTTGCCCTGCGTTCCGGGAGCCTGACGCGGTTCCACTCGAGGTGGGCAGTTGCCTTTTCCCTCTTTGCCTCACGCCTGTGATGCTGTAGTGCTTACTAACCTTTTGAACAGAACTGCACCGAGCATCTCGGTTCTTGAATACCTAAACAGACTAGCAAAACATGCGACGTTGACGCCGCCTCTACTGTTATCCATGGTCTACTACATTGACCGTTTATGTGCCTTATACCCTGAATTCACCATCAATACGCTTACCGTTCATCGTTTCTTGATAACGGCAGCCACGGTAGCAGCCAAAGGCTTGTCAGATTTGTTCTGGAATAACACGACATACGCGCGGGTAGGGGGAGTAAGGGTCGCCGAGCTGAAGCTGTTGGAGCTAGAGTTTCTCTACAGGGTGGATTGGAAGATCGTTCCGAACCCCGAGGTCCTTGTGGCGTATTATCGTGGCCTCGTTGAGCGTTGCCCCGGTTACGCGCTGCAAGAGGATGACGTCGTCGACGAAGCTGAGGATTCCGATGTCATCGACGACAGCGGCTCGACGGAAATTTCTGATGGACCATGTGACGACAGCGGCGACTCGCCGAACGAAGGAAGCCCGGCCAAGTCGTCGCGTGGCGAAGGAGGAGGGCCTCCGCAAGCCACGGAAACAGCTTTCATGGAGAAGGCGTATTCTAGTGGTTCATTCTGATTTTTAAAAATGGGTGGGCATTACTGCTGCCCCAAGAGGCATGGTAAGCGGCGTTTGGACATGTGGGAATGCTTCATCTTATTTAGATATTATGAGGAAGGATAGCGTCAATGAAATACCGGAGTTCTTCTGAATTATCTGTAGAATAACCACTACTTGGTTTGGACCATTTTAGAAGGTCGTGCTTTGAGACCGATTCTTTTCTTTTGCTGAAGCGCGTTCAATAGCGAGCGGATTGGCGATTCGACTCCCCAGTCGTGTCGCGCGCACGCGCACACATACACACACATACGCACAGGGCAACCAGCCGAGCTAATCCCGGCCTCTAGCAAGGCGACCCCATCGAACCTCTCCGCCGTCATTCATCATTCAACATCATAACCTCTTCCGCAACCCATATTCCTCCCCTGCAACAGACCTGCATCTTGGTTTCGTGCGCGCGCACATACGGATATACACGAACGGGCCACCCATTACAAAATAGTCGCGCAATCATGCGCGCGACCACCCTCCTCTCGGCGCTCTTTGCAGCGACCCTCGCCGCCGCCGAAACGCGCCTCGCAAAGATCTACATCGAGCCCGTCTCTCCCACACCGCAGACGCCTGTCCTCCTCGCCGAGGTTGAGTACGACGCCAAGAGGTCCGCCGACGCGAGCGTCACCTCCTACGAGGCGCCCGACCTCAGTGCTGGCGCCAACGACAGTCCGACCCCGAAGCTCGTCCGCATCGGCGTCTTCGACCCCTCAACGTCGGAGTGGATCTCGTCCGTGTCCGTGGCGTCGACGGAGAACTTTGCCAAAGGGTACGCGCCCAACATTGTACTCAGCGTGGACAGCGTCTCGGGCGACGTCGTGGGTGCTGGGCTCAAGGGCGTACTGATCGATGCCGGTGCGACGAGGGATTTCGGCCCGCAGGCTATCGTGCGGGTCAGCGTGCAGGGGAAGACGCCCGAGTTAAACAAGCCGATTGTCCTGAGCCCTGAGGGCAAAAAGGTCGTGCAGGAGGAGAAGCCGTTCTGGCAAAAGTATGTTGAACTCATCCTGCAGGTGTCGGAGGCCCGGGAAGTAGGGTAAGAGTCGCTAACGTTTGTGCAGGTACTGGTGGTTGATTGCCATTGTCGTGTTGATGACCGTCACGGGTGGGGGAGAAGGAAAATAGAAGAGGGCCATGTCACGGCGAATACCCAAGAGATGATGGCTTTGCGTTCTTCACTACTGCATGAGTTTCGTTTCGGGATCGAAGCCTGGCAGACACACTCTTGATTCTGCCGCATAGCAAGGTGACATTCATGAGCCAGCATTGACCTGGCCTGATGAAGTTATCTACAATAATCCATATCTGTCGTCTCGGCGATGGGCCCTGGAGTTGTTACCACATAAACTCCTATCACGAACTGTGAGGCAGCTGAGCGTCTCTTGGCTGGACTCTTCTTGAATGGTTTCCAGTGTGGATACACTAGCTACTCGGGCAGGCAGTATTAGAGGTGGCACGTGCACGAAAGTTTTTGGCGCGCTAGTACTATAATGGACTAGCGTCGTTGCTCAGAAACGAGAC